GCTTTTATTTATAATGCCTCCCAGGTCTAAGCAGGCAAAAAAATCCCCCCCGCATGTGCTTAAAGAACTTGTTAGTAAACCGCTGCCTTTGCCTCCTACACCCCCTACTGGAGATTCCTTGACACAGGAGCTTCTTTTTCAAATACTCAATGATTTTAAACAAGAAATCAAAGAATTTGTGCTGGATTTATGCGACAAAATACAGACCCAAAATTGCCCAAATAAAGGTGGATATGTTTGAAGTTATGTCTACTATGACAGATTATATCGAAGAAATGGAGACTAAACTGGAAACTTTGGAGGAGGCTAATTCTAATTTGACTTCCAATATCCAAGCATTACAACAAGAGATTAGAGATACTCAAACACAACTTATAATGATAAATTATAACAGAAAAGCGTGTGCAATAAGAGTCAGAGGACTGCCCGAAAAGAAACAGAATATGTGATGGGACGCATGATAAAATGGGTTATAATTTTGGCTGTAACATACAAATGGGAAATAATGTGGATAAAAACACTGAAATCCACATTGCATTACAATTTAAGAAGGAACTTTTATTAAATGATATGATGGCACATGATCAGACATTATCAAAGATACATAAAAGTACTTCTAATCACTACTGAAAATAAGTTATGGTGGAAGGGCTTGCAAAAAAGCAAAATAATACCGGATTCAAATATATACAATTATACAAAGAATTTTAAAGAGCAATATTGATACCATAATTATTCCTATTAGGATTTATGGATAGCCAGTTAGAGTAAATGTACTGGAGACTGATATTGTATATGGTAACTGCAGCAGAACTATTATAAGCATAAAGGTGGAAAAATACTGAAATATCCATAATGGAGCACCATGAAGATGGCAGAACATGCAGTAACAGTGAAAATGACCTGTTGGATCAGTAACAGGAATTACTTTTATAAAAGACTGGAAACTTCTGGGCTGAAAATGGAAAAACATGCATCTGATGATTTACAGATTTGCTAATTAAAATAAGTTGAGTATGGGGAAAAGCAAAGCAAATTGCAACTTTAAAGAGTTAGGACAGATAATGAATTTGTTTGTAACTGCTTCAAGTTTGAAAATTGCTTCTTAATACCTACTTGCACTCTCTCTTCTACTTCTTTTATCTTTTCTGTCTTTTTCACTATATATAGTTTCATGTTTATTTTATACTTATGTGAAAATGTTTAACAAAAACTATTAACAAGAAAGAAACCCTGAACAAAAGAATCCAAACACTATTCCTAAGGAAATTGTTCAAATGCTTTTGATTATAATAAACTTGAAAACAAGCTCTATTCTGCAAATGTGGTATAGTGAATGTTATACCAGGGTGTAATTCTGTGTTAAATGTTATAAAGATCTTCATAAGCTATGATATAAGGTATGTTTTTCCTATTTGTCTTCTACTGACAAAGGAATGTAAACTTTATGCAAGGTTGAGAAATAACTTTTAATATTGTGTATCAAATTGCAGATTATAGAACACTGCCACCTACTGGTACAAATACAATGTAACATTCAAGTATTTCAAGAGTTTGTTAGCTCTATAACTGGAGAAAATTTTGTTTTGTTTACAAATACAACCATACATATATAATTATAGCTACTGTTTAGTATTTGTATTATTTTTACAAGGTATTTTTTCTGTAAGAAAAATGGGGGTGGGAGGGCAGAAAGAGATCAGAACAGGCTTTAGGCATTTTAGAGCTTCATATGCAAGGTAGTCCTTCTTTAATGACCACTTGTTCAGCAAGAGTGACCGTTCAGAGTTAAGATGGCACTGAACAAGATTTATGACTGAGAGTTGTAGTGGCGGCCATTGCAACTTTCCCACAGTCATGTGATCACAATTTGGATGTTTGCTAACCAGCTCATAATTGTGACATCTGCAGTGTCCCACAGTCCCATGATAGCAATAGCAATAGCAGTTGGACTTATATACCGCTTCATAGGGCTTTCAGCCCTCTCTAAGCAGTTTACAGAGTCAGCATATCGCCCCCACAGTCTGGGTCCT